GCTGTACTGGCCACGCGCGGGCCTGACGTGGCTGTACGGGGCTGCGCGAATGCCTAGCGAGGACTGTACGGGCTGCTCTCGGGCCTGACGTGGCCTGTACGGGCTGCGCTAACGCCTAGCGCTGACTCTACGGGCCGCTGTGCGGGCCTAACGTAGGCTATACGGGCCGCGCTTGGCGTGGCGCGGGCTGTACGGGCGGCGCGAAGGCCAGACGGGGGCTGTACGGGCTGCTCGCGGGCTACGCGCGACAGGACAGGGGTAGGGCCGCGGGGCAGCAAAAATCGATGAACCTAAGGGCGCATTTCAGGCAGAAAAAAGCAGGGAACGCGATTCGGGCAGGAACACGGTTTAACGGTGGGGCCCTAAAAAATTCGTCCTAGGCTAGGAACGTCCTAGCTCTTAATACCATGTGAGATTAGTATGAAGGTATGATGGAGATTAGGGCAAGGAGGGGGATACAAAGAAGTGTTGAGCAAAATTCTGTACCCCTAAGGCTAAACCCACTACAGCCTAGATAACATTAAACATATAATTCGACAGGTTGGTCGACCAAGGCCCTCAGCTGGTTGGGGCGCCACTGCGACTAGCACTCCCCGGACCACTAGGTCTCCACGGCGGCAACTGCTGCTGCCCCTGTCGCTGCACCTGCTGCTACTGCAGTCCGTGCTGCTGTGTCTGTACGTGTTGCTGTGTCTGTACGTGTTGCTAGTGGTATGGCTCGTGCTGCTGCTGCACCTGCGGTGAAGGCTGCTGCTGCTTTGGTCCCTCTCCACCCCCACAGGTAGCACCTCCGCCCATCGGGTCGACAAGTCCAGGACCACCTCTAGTACCACCAGCACCATGTGCACTAGGACTGCCACCTCCGCCGCCACCAACACCATTACCACCACCGCCACCCTCGCCCGTCCCCCTCTCTTACCTCCCTTGCCACGCTTCTGCCCACCAGTGATAGAAACAGCTATAGTCTCCCGAACTAGACAGTGCAGCAGTAGCGAGAGAGGCAGTAAACGTGGGGAGCCGAGGCACAGCGCACCCCTCAAAGAGGTGGGGAGGCACTGCAGAAGTGGAAACAGCGATTGCGAGGAGGTTATTCTCAATCTTCGTGAGTGTGGACTCAAAATTTTTATAGTAAGCTCGGTGGGGTGCTTCAGAAGAAGCACGTCACGGGCAGATGAGAGGGGGTCAGGGAGGCAAGTTATAAGCTAGTGGAGGGTGAGACACATAGGGGAGGGGTCGGATTGAGCTGGTCCTCAGTGCAAGCAGCACGAAAGCTAGTGTCAAGAGTGCGGAGGTGGGTGACCAGGTCGGAGACAGTCTCATACAAGCTCAGGTCAGGGAACACGAAGGGCATGAGGAGGCGGGTGAGGGAGGCAGAGGTAGGAGTTTGATAGCGGGCAACAATAGCGTCATACAGACACTTGGTAGACTCCACCTGAGAGACGTGAACGGCCTCAGATGGAGGGAGGAGGTCAGTCAGGGCGGCGCAGGCAGCGGAGTCACGAGACTCCCAAATGCCACGCGCCAGGTACTGCGATCGTACTCAGCCTGCTGATCCGGAGTGGGACTAGGCAGGAGGGTGGGGCGAGGAGGGGCTTGAATTGAGCCAAACACATGCGCAAAGAGGTGGGCACCGTCCTGTCGCTAGCCCCTAAGAGTGCACTGATTCTGAACGAGCAACTTGCTAAACTCAATAGGATGGCCTTCTGCGTCAAAACGGAGAACACGGGAGAAACGCCATTGTGAAGGCTAGGAGGGACTGGAGGTTGGAGGGAGCAAAAGGTCTAGGAGTGACTGTATGGAGGAGAAAATGGAATGAGGGATGCCAGGCTAGGAGAGCACAGCTAGGAAGAGCACGAGATAACTGCTAGAACCTAACACGGGGCCCTATTTACGACTAGCAAGGGAGGAGCGGCTGGAAGCCGCGGTAAGGAGAGCCAGTGGCAGAAGGTACATGTGGGGCCCGGTGAGAGGGGAGCAGCTGTTGCTTGCATGGCTGCCGCCTGCAAGCACGGGTGGCTCTGCGCGTGTGGCAGTTGCTGCTGTGCGCTGCGCGCGGGCACGGACACTGGTGGTACAGCGGGCTGCTACAGTGGCAGCGCGCACGGTGGGCTGCTGTAGCGGCGGTTCGAGCATGGGCAGGCTGCTGCAGCAGCGGCGGCTGTGGCGGGCTGCTTGCGTGCGCGCTGGTCTAGCTGGAGTGCACGCTGGCCAGGCAGGAGTACGCGCGCAGGTTGGGTGAATGGCGCATGCTGGCCAGGGGAGGGGCTGTGCGCTGCTCTGGCTGGGGCGTGCGCTTCTCTGGCTGGGGCACGCGTTGCTCTGGCGGGGGTGCGCGCTGCTTTGGCTAGGGTGCGCGCTGCTCTGGCTGGAGCTCGCGCTACTCTAGTGGGGTGCGCGCTGCTCTGCGGGGCTGGATGAAGGGCTCGCGCTGGCCAGGGAGGGGCACGCGCTGCTCTGGCTCAGGCGCGCGCTACGCTAGCAGGGGCGGCTGGGAGGGGAGGGTTTGCTACGAAGGAAGGGGAGGGCATGCTATGGAGCTAACAGGCTAGAACAGAGGTAAGAAGCCTAGAACGAACTTAGTGTGATGCCATCTCAGAGTAGCGGAACGATTGGGTAAGGGAGATCGGTGATACAAGTGCAAGCCTTAATTGTGCTATACCGTGTGCTGTTAGAAACTCAAGTGATGATTGACTATTGTGGGTTGGGGTACATAAACCTAACCCTAACTGCTTTACCCCATATGACACGCATCACTAAAGGCTACACCATTTGACACACCCCCATAGCCTAAGTGAGGGGTGTCAAGCAAAACCAAATCCGTACGGTCACAAGACCAGTCACAAAGAAACAAAGCTCAAGGTGGATCACAACGTCACCACAGAATCCGAGCACAAGCAAAAGGGCCGCAATGCCAATCCAAGTGTTCACTGAGGTATATGCAAAGTGTACAACAAAACCAGCAAACTCTATACAAGACAAGAACGTGTGTCAACGAGACCTAACTGCACACAACACCTGTGGTGGTCACAAGGCGGAAGAGCCTTGGTGAAGATGTCTACAGTGTTGGCCTCGGACTCCACAAAGTCCAAGCGAGCCTGTCCATGCCTCTGCAACTCTCGCATAAAAAATACCTGATGTTGATGTGCTTCACTCTACTCTCCAGTCGAGGCTCTTGACAGAGGAGAAATCGTAGCCTTGTTGTCAGTAAACAAGGTCGGCGCTGAGCTCGGCCGCTCACCAAGGTCCTGTGAGCAAGAAGGTCAACCAGCGCAACTCCTGTGCAGCCATGGCTCCAGCGTAGATCTCAGCCTCAGCAAGTAGAGATCGAGACCGATGAGGAAACCCGTGGACCACCACGAAACAGCTCCAGAGCTGTGAGGATCTAGGATCGAGCTCAGAAAAGAGAATTGTAATTGAATGATCACCTGGGTACAACACGAGGCTATATACAGGCTCGACACAAGGCCAGTAACCAGGTGTTACGCGAAAGTTCCGCGGGTCGCGAAGCGTCCCGAACAGATCCTTCCCGAATTCGGTAGAAGGCAATTCGGTGGCAACCGAAAAGCCAGAATTCAGTGCACGCAACCTAGCTCGGTGCTATAACTATAATAAAATATTGGAAAGCACCTAGCCTAGGAAATCAAGCAATTCATGCATGTATATAATTATCCTATGCTAGAAATAGCATGATAAACTAAAGGCAAGCAAGCATAGCTGGCATAAGCCGTCGTACTCTCACACGTCCCCCCCTCAAAGCTGGGTGGTGTGAGATACACCCTGCTTGACAAGATATTCCTTGAGAGCACGTCGTGCGTTGCCCATATCAGCTTCTGCAACCCAACTGTCGTCAGTGGGGTCGTATCCCTTCCAGCGTATCAGGAACTCGAGGGTCTTGCCCACCGCGGCGCTGATGAGTGAGAACGCGCTCCACTTCGTACTCGGGTTTATCCTGTACCAGAACAGGTGGTGGTGGCGGTAGCTGCCGTCCCTGGAACTGTTGGTTGGGGTCCTTGTAGGGCTTCAATAGCTGGACATGGAAAGCGTTGTGAAGCTTCCATGTATCTGGTAAGCGCAAGTGGAATGTAACTGGTGTCACCTGTGCCTCAACGAGAAAAGGACCACAGAAGCGAGGCCGGAGTTTGGATGGAAGGTGAGACAGGTTCAATTTGCGCGTGTCAAGAAGCACCTGATCTCCGACTGCTACTGAGTGATCACGTCGCTGACGATCGGCATACTACTTCTGGGAGTTCTGCATCGTGGTGAGACGTCGCTCAGTTTTCTCCCATAGCTGCTGCATGGTGGTGACGAAGTCATGTGCGGCTTGGACGTGTGCCGGTGTGGTTGGCTGTTGTGGTGTGAGTGGTTCCCGTCCGTAACACAGGAAGAAAGGAGTTTTCCCTGTGGCCGCATGTGATGCGTTGTTGTAAGTGAAGTCTAGTGTCGGTAACTGTGTGTCCCAGTGGCTGACGTCGTCTTTGCAAGCTGTGCGCAGTAACTGTTCAACCACCTGATTGAGTCGCTCTGGCTGTCCGTCAGTCTGTGGGTGGTATGCTTGAGGACATCGCAAGTTTGGTACCGAATAATCCCATGAGCTCCTTCCAGAACTTACTAGTGAATTTTGGATCTATGTCTGAGATGAGTATAGCGGGGATGCCGTGGATGGTGATGATGCGGTCGAAGAAGAGGCGAGCAGTTGCTTCAGCTATAGCTGTGGCGTTGGTCGGTATGAAGTGACCCATTTTGGAGAACTTATCGATCACTACAAGGATGGAATCGTGCCCCCGTTGAGGTCGAAGGAAGTCCTGTGATAAAGTCGAGGCTAACGACCTGCCATGGCTGCTCCGGTACGGGTAGAGGCTGATGTAACCCTGCTTTTTTCTGCTTGCTACTCTTCATCCGCTGGCACGTGTCGCAAGAGGTGACGAACTGCTGCACGTCTGCTGCCATCCCAGGCTTGTAGTAATACTTCGCTATCCTTGATAAGTCTTTTTGCTCCCAAAATGTCCCGCGTAAGGTACGTCGTGAAACTCCTCCAATAGGATCTGCCGTAGCGGGGCGTAATTCGGTACCCAAATCTTTCCTAAATCCTTCCTTACAGCTAAGTCTTTCTCCCACTGTAACAGCTTCTTGGTTTGTGCTGTAGCGATCTCTGCGTCTACAGAGTACCCATGTTGGAATAGACCCTTGAGCAGAGGGTTCATCCCGTCGAGCTGGATGCCTGCTACATGTCCGGGGTGGCTCAACGCGTCTGCCTTGTTGTGTAGCCCGGGCTTGTAGACGACTGTCGTAGTGGTAGTGAGTTTCCAGGAAGTCCACCCACCGCACCTGTCGTCGAGAGAGTGTCGGCTGCAACTTCAGGTATGTCAGGCATATATGCTTTAGTCTGTGTAGGCTGTAGTGGGGCAGTTCATATGGGGTACAACACTTTAAGGTTTACTACTTGTACTCCTCATTCTGCTCAATGCACTCATTCCTCGTTTCTTATCATGGTATCGAGCAGGTTCCCTAGTGGAACGCTACCTAGGGCCCACCACGATATTTTTTTTTTCCTGCCTGGAGCGCGCTTCACTCCTGCCCGAGTCGCGCTTTGTGTGCTCTCCCCACCTTCGAGCCGCCCTTAGTGGCCCCTCTCACGGCCCCTTTGGCTGCCCTTACGGCCCCTCACGCCGCCCTCTACGGCCCCTCGCGCCGCCCTTACGGCCCCTTACGGCCCCTCGCGCTGCCCTTACGGCCCCTTACGGCCCCTCACGCCGCCCTTACGGCCCCTTACGGCCCCTCACGCCGCCCTTACGGCCCGTCGCCGCCCCGTTTAGGCCCCTTGCGGCCCATCTTCGGCCCCGTCTAGGCCCCTTGCGACCCCTCTGCGACCCCCTCTAGGCCCCTTGCGGCTTCTCTGCGGCCCCTCTAAGACCCCGTCGCCGCCACCTGCGGCCCCGTCGCTGCCACCTGCGGCCCCGTCGCCGTCACCTGCGGACCCGTCGCCGCCACCTGCGGCCCCTTCGCCGCCACCTGCGGCCCCGTCGCCACCACCTCGGCCACGCAGCCGCCACCTGCGGCCCTGCCGCCACCTGCGACCCCGTCGCCGCCACCTGCGGCCCCATCGCCGCCACCTGCGGCCCCGTCGCCGTCACCTGCGGCCCCGTCGCCCTCCCCCAGCGGCCCTATCACCGCTCAGCCGCCCAGCGACCGAGCCGCCGAGCAGCCCAACAGCCGGGCCGCCCACCTGCTGAGCAGCCGAGCCGCCCAGCAGCCGAGCCGCCCAGCAGCCGAGCCGCCCAGCAGCCAAGCCGCCCAGCAGCCAAGCCGCCCAGCAGCCGAGCCGCCGAGCCGCCGAGCCGCCTAGCAGCCGAGCCGCCCAGCAGCCGAGCCGCCCTGCCGGCGAGCCGCCGAGCTGCCGAGCCGCCCTACTATCGAGCCGCTGTTGTTCCTACCGGTGCGCCCCGGCCCTCCTTCCTCGGACTGGTGAGCTCACTCCCTACTAGGCCTCTACAGTCATGGCTACCCCCCGTGTCCTTACTTTTGATGCTGAGGGCCGTGCCGTTGTCTTTGAGGTCTAGGTCGATGACCTCCAGCTATTCCTCCAGTGCGATAGGGCAGACGGACTCGCTCTGTTCGATCTCACCTCCGGTGCCTCTCCTACCCCGCCTGCTACTGCTGACAGCACTGTTCGCTCACAGTGGGCCACATGCGATGCTACTGCTCGCCTTATTGTGTGTCGCCACTTACCGACCACTGAGCGTGCACACTTTAGCCAGTACAAGAGTGCTCAGACCTTGTACGACACTGTAGTTGCACGCTACTCTTCCCCTGCCACTGCTGCACTGAGCCGCCTCATGCTACCGTACCTCTTCCCTGACCTTCCTGCCTTTCCCACAGTCGCTGAACTCATTACGCATCTCCGCACTAGTGACACTCGCTACCGCGCTGCGCTTCCTGCTGAGTTCTGCACCAAGAACCCCCCCCCCCCCCCCCCCCCCCCCATGTACATCACCCTCTACTACATAGTCACCCGGCTCCCTGACTCTCTCCGCGTAGTCAGAAACCACTTCCTCTCAATTTTCCCCACCACTCTCACCGTTGACCTCCTCGGGAAGGCCCTCCTAGCAGCAGAGAAGAGCATAGTCACTGTAGGAGCCGCTCGTGGTGACCCTCGCACCCCCGTCTTTGAGGGGTGTTCTCCCTCCCCCCTCTTGCCCTCTGTTGCCTCTGCTGCTGCGGCCGACCTCGTTGGTTTCGAGTCGGACGGCGCTGCGTCTGCCCCGAGCGGGAGACGCCACACCGGCAAGGGCAAGGGGGGCAAGGGCGCTGGAGGGGCTGGCGGGGGCGGTGGAGGTGGTGGTGGAGGCAGTGGAGGGGGTGGGGGTGGTGGTGGGAGTGGTGGCGGGGGTGGAGGTGTCGGTGGCAGCAGTGGAGGCGGAGGAGGCGGCGGCGGTGGCGGAGGGAGCGGAGGCGGCGGAGGTGGTGGAGGCGGCGGAGGCGGCGGAGGTGGCGGAGGCGGCGGCGGCAGCAGTGAACCATGGTCGCAGCTCTGCGCAGAGGAGTGGCTCCGGTGGAGGTACGCGCCAACAGCAGCAGCGCAGTCGTGAGACCCTGTCCCCTCAGCAGCTTCGTGAGTGGTACGATGCGCGTCAGCGCGGTGGGGGTACGAGTCCCTGCACCTACGTTCTCCGCACCGGCGACCGCGCTGGTGAGCAGTGCGGGGGCCCACACTCCACCCAGCGCTGCTTCGGCCGCCTGACGGACGCGTGGCGTCACCAGTTCCCTGAGGCCTCTGAGATCCCTCACTAGGGAGAGCTGTCTAGGGCGGGGGTTGCTATCTTTGATCTTGACTTTGATGCTATTCTTGCTGCCATGTATGCTGTTGCTGATAGTGTTGAGGGTGACTCTTACCTGTGTGTTCCGCCTGACCCGGGCATTGAGACAACTGCTCTAGGTGCTGGTGAGGTTGCTGCTCTAGGTGCTAGCGCGTCTGCTGCCCCAGGTGCTGGTGAGTCTGCCCTCTCAGGTACCACGTCGGCTCAGGCTTTACACACCTTCACCCTTGACTCGGGTGCTTCTCGCTCCTTCTTTCGAGACAGCACCCTGGCGGACCCCTCTGGGGGTCCTGTCCTTGCTCGCTTCTCCACTGTCTTACCGTGTCCGGCAGCCCCCTCTGGCACCCTGTCAGGTCTCTACCTCCCTCGTTCTCTACGAACTTTGTGAGTGGAGCTGATCTACAGGATAGGGGGGTTGACCAGTTCACTCCTGCGAGACAGCGGGTGACCCACTGCACGTGTGCTCGGACAGGCCGACACTTGGCCACGTTCACCCATCGGCCGAGGTCGAGCCTGTACACCCTCACTACTGAGTCTCCTCCGGCTGCTGAGCCTGGTCAAGTCGCTGTGTCGAGTCAGGTGTTTGCTGCAGCGTCCAGGTCTAGTCCTGAGTCTGCTCCCTGCTCGTGTCGTCTCCTGTCTCACCAGACTCTCCTTTGGCACCACCGCCTTGGTCACCCCTCTCTGCCTCGTCTCCGAGGCATGGCCTCCCGTGTCCTTGTCTCTGGTCTCCCCCGGTCTCTCCCTCCTCTACCTCCGAGGCCTGCCCCTACCTGCGTCCCCTGCGTCGAGGGGCGACAGCGCGCCGCCCCTCACTCCTCCGAGTTTCCTCCGACAGAGGCTCCGCTGCAGACTCTTCACATGGACGTGTGGGGCCCCGCCCGCGTCCGTGGCCAGGGGCACGAGCATTACTTCCTGTTGGTGGTTGACGACTACTCGCGTTACACCACGGTCTTCCCCTTGCGCAGTAAGGGCGACGTCACTGAGGTGTTGATCGACTGGATCCGCGCAGCTCGTCTCCAGCTCAAAGAGAGTTTCGGCTCCGACTTTCCTGTTCTGCGTCTGCACTCTTACAGAGGCGGGGAGTTTTCCTCTGCCCGTCTGGGAGCCTTCTGACGTGCACAGGGCATCCACCAGACCTTCACGCTTCCGGCCTCTCCACAGCAAAATGGGATTGCTGAGCGCCGCATTGGCATGGTCATGGACGTCGCTCGTACGTCCATGATCCATGGGGCAACCCCCCATTTTCTGTGGCTGTTTGCGGTTCAGTACGCGGCGCATCAGCTCAACCTTCAGCCCCGGGTCTCCTTGCCAGAGACCTCCCCCACCTAGCGGTGGACGGGGAAGGTTGGCGATGCGTCTGCATTTCGGGTCTGGGGATCTCGGGCGTTTGTCCGCGACTTGTCTGCGGACAAGCTGTCCCCCCGTTCTGTTCCGTGCGTCTTCCTTGGCTTCCCCCCTGACGCGCCTGGATGGCAGTTTTACCACCCCACCTCGCGCCGTGTTCTGTCCTCCCAGGACGTCACCTTTGACGAGTCGGTGCCTTACTACCGTCTCTTCCCCTACCACACTGTGCCCCTCCCCCCGCCGCCGCTCTTCCTTGCGCCAGGTCCTCCCCCGGTAGACCCCCTCCCCCTCAGGGTCCTGCCCCGTCAAGTGTGTCCTAGGTAGACGCAGTCGAGCCTGTCGAGGTAGCTGTTGGCTCTGGTGCTGCTAGAGGTGCTGAGCATGCGGGTGCCGGGTCTAGAGGTGCTGAGCCTGGGGGTGCGGAGCCTGGGGGTGCTGAGTCTGGGGGTGCTGAGCCTGGGGGTGCTGAGTCTGGGGGTGCTGAGCCTGGGGGTGCTGAGCCTGGGGGTGCTGAGCCTAGGGGTGCTGAGCCTGGGGGTGCGGAGCCTGGGGGTGCTGGGTCTGCTCGTGTGGCCTCTCGTAGTGCTTCGTCGAGGCGGGAGCTACTCTCTCAGCAGGAGCTGCGCGAGTGGTTTGCTCGCCGCTGGAGCCGTGCTGCTGGAGCTGGTCCTACTGTTGCTACTGGTCCCGGAGGTGCTCGTACTGGCGGTGCTGGAGCTGCTTGGCCTGGGGGTGCTGCTGGGGCTGCTGGAGTTGGTGCTGCTAGAGCTGCTGGAGCTGGAGCTGCTAAGGGTGTTGGCGCTGGTGGTTCTGCTGGCGCTGGTGCGTCTGAGGATGCTGGAGTTGGCGCTGTTGGAGCTGGAGGTGCTGGTGGCGCTGGTGCTACCGCTGGGGGTACTGGTGCTGTCCCTGCTGGTTCTGGAGGCGCTGCGCGGCCGCCGCCGTACTTCGTTCCGCTCCTTGAGCAGGTTCTTGGTCTCCCGCCTTCTACTGGTCCTGCTCCTTCCTTAGACTGTCCACAGCCTGTCCAGTCGTAGTCACTGTTACAGCCCGCCTCCCCTCTACCTGCTCCTTCTCCCTACACTGGTCCTACTGGAGGTCTTGATGAGCATCGTGAGCCTGCGTCTCGTCCTGCGTCGCTTGTTCGCACTGCTCGCACTACTCGTCGAGTTCCGCGTCAGCGTCCTCCTGCGGTTCCGGGCACACACCAGATGGCACAGCATCCTTCCACTACTCCCCTTCGTGTCCCGTTGCCGTCTCCTCCAGAGTCCTCTCTTCCTGTCCTTCCTGACCCTGAGTCTGACTCTCTTCGTGCTGCTAGTCCTACTGTCACGCGTCTCCTGGCCACTGTTGTCACTGACCCTTCCTTTGAGTCCACTGCTGCGTGCGTCTGCCTTAGTTGCTGAGCTTGTCGTCTTTGCTGCTCGCTGTCGTCTAGACTACACCACTAGTCTCGTTGCTGAGTCTGAGTCTGTCTGTCCTCTGTCTGTCGGGGGTGAGTGTGCTCTTAGCACGGACGTCCTTGAGGACAGGCAGGAGGAGTTCCAGTGTTTTGCTGCTGCTTTGCCTCATCTCGTGTCCACGCTGTTTGCCCCTGAGGGACACCCGGATGCACCAGACATCCCGACTCCATGATCGTACGCTGAGGCGATCGAGGGTCCCTACTCCTCTCAGTGGCAGTCAGCCATGGACGCAGAGATGGCTTCGTGGAAGTCCACAGGCACCTACGTTGACGAGGTTCCCCCACCTGGGGCGAACATCGTCAGTGGCATGTGGATTTTCAGGGTGAAGCGGCCGCCGGGTTCTCCACCTGTCTTCAAGGCGCGTTACGTGACTCGAGGCTTCAGTCACCGGCAGGGAGTTGACTACTTTCAGACCTTCTCTCCCACCCCGAAGATGACCACTCTTCGGGTGCTGCTGCACATAGCCGCTCAGCGCGACTACGAGCTTCACTCTCTTGACTTCAGCACAGCTTTCTTGCAAGGCAGCCTGCACGAGGAGATCTGGCTGCGCCGCCCACCTGACTTCACTGGGTCGTTTCCTCCAGGTACCCAGTGGAGCCTCCGGCGGCCACTCTACGGTCTCTGCCAGGCGCCCCGTGAGTGGCACGACACACCGAGGACTACACTTGCGGCTCTTGGGTTTGCTCCTTCTACAGCCGACCCGTCGCTGTTTCTGCGCACCGACACCTCTTTGCCGCCGTTCTACATCCTCGTGTACGTCGACGACTTGGTCTTTGCCACTGCTGACACTGCTGGACTCGCCCACGTGAAGTCCGAGCTGCAGAAGAGACACACGTGCACAGACCTGGGTGAACTGCGCAGCTACCTTGGCTTGAAGATCACCTGGGACAAAGCACAGCGCTCCATTACCCTAACTCAGTCACACATGGTGCAGCAGGACCTTCAGCGCTTCGGCTTCACGTACTCCTCGCCTCAGGCCACTCCTCTGTCTACTCGCCACTCGCTCTCAGCTCTGCCTTCAGATGAGTCCGTAGAGCTGAGTGGCACGTACCCAGAGCTTGTTGGCTGCCTCATGTACCTGATGACCTGCACATGACCTGACCTTGCATACCCTCTTAGCATCTTGGCACGCTATGTTGCTCCTGGGAGACACCAACCAGAGCACATGGCTGCTGCGAAGAGGGTGTTGCGCTACGTGTGCAGTACGTCGGGCATGGGGCTAGTGCTTGGAGGGCGATGTCGAGTGGTCCTCTTAGGTCACGCAGACGCTTCTTGGGCTGACGACCAGCCGACACAGCGGTCGTCACAGGGTTAGACCTTCAGCCTTGGCTCCGGCTCTGTTTCGTGGCGGTCTACCCGCTCGTCTTCTGTTCTCACCTCCAGCTGTGAGGCTGAGATCTACGCGGGGGCCATGGCTGCACAGGAGCTACGCTGGCTCACCTACCTGCTGACTGACCTAGGAGAGCCGCCTCGTTCTCCTCCAGTTCTGTACGTAGACAACAAGGCCATGCTGGCCTTGTGTCGGGAGCACAGACTGGAGCACAGAACGAAGCACATTGCTCTTCGCTACTTCTTGGCTCGTGAGCTGCAGCAGCGTGGTCAGCTCCGCCTCACCTACGTGGCCTCTGAGGCCAGCAGTGCTGATATCTTTACCAAGGCCCTTCCGCCTTGTGATCATCAGCGCTTTTGTGCTATGCTAGGTCTTGTGCCTACTTGGCCTCACTTGCTCACTTCTTGACCTTGTTTGTACTGTACTCTTTCTATACCTGCACTTGCTTGTTTACCTTCATATGTATGATCTTGCATGTGAACTGGCCTTGTGGCCTTGCTCTTGTGCTCGGACTGTGTGGTGACGTTCTGATCCACCCTGAGCTTGCCTTGCTTTGCTTGACTGGTCTTGTGACCCCTTGTTCTCCCCCACTTTGCCTATGGGGGTGTGTCAGGCATATATGCTATAGTCTGTGTAGGCTGTAATGGGGCAGTTCAAACTGGGTACAACACTTAAGGGTTTACTACTTGTACTCCTCATTCTGCTCAATGCACTCATTCCTCGTTTCTTATCAAGGTATTTGAGACTGCAGTGGTCAGTATAGACTGTAGTCTTTGCTCCTTTTAGGTAACACCTCCACGTCTTGAAAACTACGACTATAGCTAAGGCTTCCTTGTCGTGGATGGTGTCGTTCACTTCCGCTCCGTGTAACTTTTTACTGAGTTAGGCGATATGTTGTAAACCGTTCTCGTGATCTTGCATCAGTACTGCTCTGACTGCTTGGTCACTAGCGTCTGCTTCTACCACGTAGTCCTTGTCTGGGTCCGGTAGGATGAGTACTGGCGATGTAGTCAGTGCTGTCTGTAGCTGCTCCATGGCTTGTTGATGAGGAGTATCTCATTTGTAGGGCGTATCCTTTTTCAGTAGGTCGGTCAGTGGCGCTGCTATCTTAGCATACTGCGGCACGAACCTGTTGTAGTAGTTAGCGAAGCCTAGGAACTGCTGCAACTCCTTCACGTTCTCCATTACTTTCCATTTCTTGACGGCTTCAATCTTCCGCGGGTCCACGTGTACGCCCTCCGCACTCCCCATGCGCCCGAGAAACTACACCTTCTTCAGGGCGAAGTCGCTCTTCGACAGCTTCACGTGGAACTTGTTTTTCCGCAGGATCTCGAACACCTTCCCTAGATGCTCCACGTGCTCCTTCATGTTCTTGGAGTAGATAAGAATGTCGTCCAGGTACACCACCACGCACTCGTCCAACAGGGGCCGTATGATGTGACTCATCTCCGCCTGAAACGTTGCTGGTGCGTTGCAGAGTCCGAACGGCGATAACCAAGTATTCATAGGAGCCGTATCTCGTATGGAACTCCGTATTGTGGATCGAGTTGTCCGCCATCTTGATCTGCCAGTAACCCGACCGTAGGTCCAGCTTCAAAAAGACTGTTGCACCACGCAGTTGGTTGAGTAGGTCGTCTATGCGCGGTATGGGGTATTTGTTTGAAGTGTCTGTTCGTTCAGTGCGCGGTAGTCGATGCACATCCATAGACTGCCGTCTGGTTTTGGAGTAAAGAGAACTGGTGCACCGTAGGGAGAGGTGGATGGGTGGATCAGTTGTCTGTCCAGTAGATATTCGATCTGTTTCTTCATGTCTGTCAGTTCGGTCGGACTCAGTCGGTATGGTGCACGTGAGACGGGTTTTGCACCTGGTTCCTCCACGATCTCGTGCTCGTGGGTGCGTGCAGGGGGTACGCCTGCAGGTAGGTCGTCGGGCATTATATCCTTGTACTGCTCCAAGACCTCCTTCACTGCTGCAGGTAGTTCTTCGTTCGGCTTCTCCTCCTCTGCTGCTGCCATAACCAGTGCTAGGTATCCCGTGTTATTCTCGTTCACCGTCTGTTCAAATCGTGCCAGTGTCGTTTCAGGAACGTCCCCTGTATCCGTCCAGCTTCGTAGTGCTATCCGCTTCGCGTTGTTGTAGATGCACACCTTCCTGTTGACCCAGTCGATCTCGGGGTTGAACCGCTTCAAGAAATCTCGCCCCAAGATGAACTCTAACCCTTTGATGTTCATGATCGGCTACGTCGGCTTCCACCTTAGTGCCCCTATGTGCATCTGCAGTGATGCTTTGCCGTGGATGGGAAGTTTTGTACCGTCCACCATCGTTGCCGAGAACTTGGTCTCCTCGGAAGGTTCCCCAATTTTCTCCAACGTCCCGCGGTCACACACCGAGTGAGATGCACCGCTGTCCACCAGTGCCTGGAGGTGTCGTCCTTTGCATAACACCTGGACGAGTAGTGGTGCCTGCTGCGCTGAGTAGCCAAAGAGGGTCTCATTGATAGGATCATAGGGTACATCAAAGTGAATACCATCCCTATTTCCTATACCTGACTCAGCACTTTTCTCTTCCAACTTCACCTGGGGGGTAGGAGGATTTTTCCGAGGCTTGTACAGCTTCTCAGGAGCCTGAAATTTTCCTCTAAGCCTTGGCAGCTGTGTAGGCTTCACCTGTGGGCTAAGGGAAGCCTTAACACTGTGCTGCGGGGAGAGAATATTATTTCCACGGAACGCACGACCCTTTTCTACGCTCCGTAGTAATTTGCCCAACTTCTCAGGTACCTGAATAATTTCTAAAGGCTTTTTCTTGGCCTCTAAATCTCCCCTGAATTTTTCAAAGGCTTGAAAACCACGAGAAGCAATATTTTCCGTTAAGAGTATCTTTATAGGATACTTTTAACGAATTCTTACTTTCGTGGGTGCTCAGCTGGAGTTTCCTGGTCGGTGGAGAGTCTTTCTTCGCGGAGCCTCCATTTGCCTTGGCGATTTCCCCTGATGTCGGCCGGTCGTGACGTTTTATATTCGCGCCATCATTTTCTCCTTTTTTCACCCGCTCCGAAGTCGCCACGTCGTCGCCTTGTCCTGCTTTTCGGATCTTTACGCGATCGCCAGGACGATCCGCGACTACTGGCGATTCCCGTTTTTTTACTTCGGGGGTGCTCCACTCTTACCGTCCCAGAGTGCTGAACGTGCTTTCTTCATTTTGTAGCACGACAAAAACTGATGCCGTGCTGCGCCGCAAAACTCGCATTTTGTCGGCTGCTGCTTCGCGTCGTATTTGTCGATATCCATCGGTTCGGCAAACGTGGGGGGTGCCGATCGCTCCGTGCCGAATGTACGGTTCGGCGTGAAGCGTCGTGTTTCGGATTGACCTCGAGTCAATCAGTCGTACCGCTCGGCAGCACGCACGATGTCGTGGTTACAGTTGCAATTCACTGCGATGGCCTCTTGGCGAAACTCCAATTTTAACCCTTCTGTGTACGCCTGGATTTTTTCGCCTTCGGTCAGGTCGGTGATGCGATTGAACAGGAGCTCCATCTGCTGCGTGTACTGTGCTACACTACTGTATTGCTTGTGATGGTGTATCTGCTGCCGCGCCATGTAGGTCGTATTAATGGGTTCGAAACGCTCGATTAAGTCTGCCCGAAACTGCTGCCACGTTTTCTCCCAGCGGGCTACGTCAGTGTAATAAATCCATTCGAGTGCCAGTCCACTTAACAATGTCGCTGCGAGCCGAATTCTTGTTGCGTCGTGTTGCGGGGTCGAACAGCCAATGGCCTGGAAGTAAATTTCGAGGGTTGCCACGAATCGCCGGACGTCAATTCCTTCGCGCTGGGATCGAACGCTTCAGGGAGCCTCGGTCGTGCTGCTTCGAGGTTCGGCGACAGTGGTGCCATCAGTCCGTGAAATGTCGGTGTCGCCACTACTGCAGGTGCTGTCGCTGCTACGTTCGCTGCTGCTGCTACGTTCGCTGCTGCTGCAGTGGCGATTCCTGGTTGGTGTGTCAGAAGGGTCTCGAGTCGCCGTAGCGCCGCCTGCGTCTGCTCCATGTCGGTGCGGAGGCTCGCGATGTCGCTCGTGGTCGCGTAGTTGTCGCCTTGGCCCTCCATGCCTGGCATTACGCGTCTGAAAAACCCGAAACGAGGGGGAGCAAAAAACACGGAACCAGTTTTACGTACCCGAAATCGATGTTTAACTGCGTCGCCCCCGCGTTTTTGAAGACTCGGTTTTAGCGGTCGAAAAACTTTCGCGTGTAAACGGGCTGTGATTACCAAGTGTTAGGATCTAGGATCGAGCTTAGAAAAGAGAAAGTGAATTGAATGATCACTTGGGTATAACACGGGGCTATATATAGGCTCGACACAAGGCCCAGTAACCAGGTGTTACGCGAAGGTTCCGCGGGTCGCGAAGCGTCCCGAACAGATCCTTCCCGAATTCAGTAGAAGGCAATTCGGTGGCAACCGAAAAGCCAGAATTCGGTGCACGCAACCTAGCTCGGTGCTATAACTATAATAAAATATAGGAAAGCACCTAGCCTAGGAAATTAAGCAATTCATGCAAGCATATAATTATCCTATGCTAGAAATAGCATGATAAAGTAAAGGCAGGCAAGCATTGTCAGAGGTCCACTGGTGATCCCCGATTGATCCTAGGGAAGGGTTACAGGCTTATTGTCCTGGGGGGTTATGGGCGCACTGACCCGCTACTTAACAAGCCCTTTTATCCCAATGGTCTAGTGGTTGGGATTCTGACATGGTATCAGAGCAAAGGTCACGGGTTCGAATCCTAGTGTGTGCACTTCGGGCATCCCAGTGTGGGGGGGTGTTAGAGGTCCACTGGTGATCCCCGATTGATCCTAGGGAAGGGTTACAGGCTCGTTGTCCTGGGGGGTTATGGGCGCACTGACCCGCTACTTAACAAGCCATTTTATCCCAATGGTCTAGTGGTTTGGATTCTGACAAGCATAGCTGGCATAAGCCGTCGTACTCTCACAAGAGCCTAGGCTGAAGCAGTACCCCTGAGTAGACCTGTGAGTCTCGGCTCCCAATGGGAGGCGCAGGGGCGGCAGGGGCAAGGGGGGCTGGGGTGGAGGAGGCGGCGGCGGGGGAGGTGGTGGTGGAGGGGGTGGAGGGGGCGGCGGCGGTGGCGGCAGTGGTGGGAGTGGTGCTGGTGGTGCGGGGGGCAGTGGCGGAGCAGGGGGTGCTGGAGGTGGCGGTAGTGGAGGCGGAGGTGGGGGTGGTGGCAGTGGTGGCGGTGGTGGAGGTGGTGGAGGGAGCGGTGGAGCGGTGCAGCGTGGCGGGTTTGGCAGCGGCCATAGGCAGCAGCAGCAGCGTCCCAGCGAGCCCCCGTCACCCCAGCAGCTCCGTGAGTGGTACTCTCAACGTGGGGGGTTTGGGGGTGGAGGTACCTGCCCGTACGTCATGCGCACAGGTGACCGCACTGGCCAGACTTGTGGGAAGTTTCACACGGCGCAATGCTGTTTCTTTCGCCTCGACGACGCCTGGCGCGAGCAGTTCCCTGACGCCTCTGAGCTGCCCCGCTGGGCTGATCTGCTTCGGAAGGGGATTGATATCTTTGCTCTTGATTTTGATGCTATCATTGCTGCTATGTATGCATTGACTATTAGTGTTGAGGGTGACTGTTACCTGAGTGTACCGCCCGACCCAGGTATTGGGAGCAGTCAGACTGCGGCTCTACGTGCTAGCGCATCTGCTGCTCTAGGACCTGGTGAGGCTGCTGCCCTAGGTGCTAGTGCGTCTACGTCTGCTGGTACCGCACCTACTGAGGCACTGCACACCTTCACACTGGACTCAGGTGCTTCCCACTGTTTCTTCCACGACCGCACTGCCCTAGAGAAGCTCCCTAGACCGGTTGCTGTCTCCCTGGCTGACCCCTCAGGGGGTCCGGTCCTTGCGACCTCCACCACTGCCCTCCCTTGTCCTGCTGTCCCGTCTGGCACGCTGTCGGGCCTCTACCTCCCCTCGTTCTCTACGAACTTGGTGGCGGGTTACGCGCTCCAGGACGCGGGTGTTCACTAGTTCACCCCGGCCTACGAGCGTGTGACGCACTGCACGTGTGCCCGGACGGGTCGTTACCTGGCTACCTTCACTCAGCAGCCGGGGTCGGACTTGTACACACTGATCACTGAGTCCCCTCAGGTAGCTGCGTCTGCGTCTGCGTCAGGTCAGCTGTCGACCCCCTGCTCGTGTTGCTCCCTGTTGCACAGGACTGTCCTCTGGCACCACTGCCTTGGTCACTCGTCAGTGCAGCGCCTTTGCGGCATCCACTCCAGGTACCTTGTCTCTGGTCTTCCCAGAGTTCTCCCTCGCCTGCCACACTCGCCTGCTCCTCCCTGTCTTCCCTGTGTCGAGGGGCGGCAGCGCGCCGCTCCTCACTCCTCCTCGTTCCCTCCCACAGAGGCTCCCCTGCAGACTCTCCACTTGGACGTGTGGGGCCCCGCCTGCGTCCGGGGACAAGGCCATGAGCGGTACTTTCTGCTGGTCATCGACGACTACACGCGCTACACCACGGTCTTCCCCTTGCGCACCAAGGGTGAGGTCCTTGATGTCTTGATCCCCTGGATCCATGCTGCTCGTCTCCAGCTCCGCCAGTGGTTCCAGTCGGACTTTCCTGTAATACGTCTGCACTCTGACAGAGGTGGCGAGTTTTCCTCTAACCTCTTGGCAGCCTACTGTGCGGAGCACGGCATCCGCCAAACGTTCACTCTCCCGGCCTCTCCGCAGTAGAATGGGGTTGCTGAGCGCCGCATTGGTCTTGTCATGGAGGTTGCTCGTACCTCCATGATCCATGCGGCTGCCCCCCATTTCCTGTGGCCGTTTGCAGTGCAGTACGCCGCGCAACAGCTCAACCTCTGGCCCCGTGTCTCTGTTCCGGAGACCTCGCCTACCCTGCGTTGGACGGGGGAGGTTGGCAACGCGTCGGTGTTCCGAGTCTGGGGATGTCGAGCCTTTGTCCACGATACGTCCGCGGACAAGCTCTCCTCTCGTGCAGTTCCCTGTGTCTTCCTTGGCTTTGTCCCTGACGCGCCTGGCTGGCAGTTTTACCACCCCACCTCGCGCCGTGTCTTCGCCTCTCAGGATGTCACCTTTGACGAGTCGGTACCCTTTTACCATCTCTTCCCCTACCGCACTGCCCCGCTCCCCCCCCCCCCCCCCCGCCACTCTTCCTCACCCCAGGTGTCCCGTCGGAAGACCCCCTCCCTCCCCAGGGTGCTGCTCCCTCAGGTGTTTCCCAGGTAGACCCGGTCGAGCCTGTCGAGGTAGCTGTTGACTCTGGTCCTGCGCGAGGTGCTGAGCGTGCTGAGCCTGGTGGTGCTGGGTCTGGGGGCACTGAGACTGGGGGTGCTGAGCCCGGGGGGTGCAGAGACTGAGGGTGCTGAGCCTGGGGGTGCGGAGACTAGGGGTGCTGAGTCTGGGGGTGCGGAGCCTTTGGGTGCTGAGCCTGGAGGTGCTGCGACTGGGGGTGCTGAGCCTGGGGGTGCTGAGATTGGGGGTGCTGAGACTGGGGGTGCTGAGCCTGGTGGCGCTCCCTCTTCACAGCAGCTGCGTGAGTGGTACTTCCAGTGCTACAGCCTCCGTCGTGGGGCTACTGGAGCTAGGGGGTCTGCTGGAGTCGGGGGTGGTGGCACCGCAGGTGCAGTGTTGCAGCCAGAGCCTCCCTCCCCTCAGCGGCTACGTGAGTGGTACGCTCGGCGCTGCAGCCTCAGGAGTGGAGCTCCTGGTGTTGAGGTAACGCCAGTTGGAGGTCCTGCTGGTGCTGGTGCTGCTGGAGGTGCTGCTGGTCCTGCTGGAGGTCCTAGAGCTGCTGGAGGTGCTGCTGGTGCTGCTGGAGGTCCTGGAGCGGCTGGAGGTGCTGCTGGTGCTGCTGGAGGTTCTGGAGCTGCACGAGGTGCTGCCGGGGCTGCTGGAGGTTCTCGAGCTGCCGGAGGTGCTGCTGGTGCTGGTTCGGCTGGAGGTTGTGGTGCTATCTCTGCTGCTTCTGGGGGCACTTCACGGCCGCGGCCGTACTTTGTTCCGCTCCTTCAGCAGGTTCTTGGTCAGCCGCCTCCTCCTAGTCCTCCTCCCTCCTTAGGGTATCCTCCGCTTGTCCAGTCGCAGTCCCAGCTCCTGCCTGCCTCGCCACTTCCTGGTCCTTCTCCCTACACTGGTCCGACAGGCGGTCTTACAGAGCGTCGTGAGCCTGAATCTCGTCCTGTGTCGCCTGTGTCTCGTCCTGTGTCACCTGTTCGTGCTGCTTGCACTGGTCGCCGTGGTCCGCGTGAGCGTGTTGAAATGTATTTAGTGTATACTTTCATATAAATGCCTACAGTAGCCTAGTGTAGTTATCTTAGTTTCCTGCTAGGTGGTGTACCATTTGCCTTTCTTCATTCTTGCCTATTTGTACCCTTGAACCTATAGTGAAACCCCTCATTCTCTCGATACTTTTTACTTCAACTCTCGAACTCAATCACCAAGGCTCCTAAGCCTAACTCTTCCTAATTACTTTGACAGAGCGTCCTCCACCTGTGTCTGGCACACACTTTATGACACTGCGTCCTTCCACTGCCCACAGCCTGTCCCTCTACCGTCTCCTCTTGCGTCCTTTCTTCCTGTCCTTACTGACCCAGAGTCTGACTCTCTTCGTGCTGCCAGTCCTACTGTCACGCGTCTCCTAGCCACTACTGTCACTGACCCTTCCTTTGAGTCTGCTGCTGCATCTGCCCTAGTTGCTGAGCTTGTCGACTTTGCTGCTCGCTGTCGTCTAGACTACGCTGCGAGTCTTGTTGCTGGGTGTGAGTCTGTCTGTCCTCCGTCCATCGAGGGTGAGTGTGCTCTAGGCACGGACGTCCTTGAGGACAGGCAGGAGGACCTTGAGTGTCTTGCAGCCGCTGCGCCTCATCTCGTTTCCATGCTGATTGCCCCTCACGGAGACCCGGATGCTCCAGACATCCCGACCCTGCGCTCTTACGCAGAGGCGATTGAGGGTCCCTACTCCTCTCAGTGGCAGTCAGCCATGGACGCAGAGATGGCATCCTGGAAGTCCACTGGCACTTACGTCGACGGGGTTCTCCGCCTATCTTCAAGACCCGTTACGTTGCTCGAGGCTTCAGTCAGTGAGAGGGAGTAGACTTCTTTCAGACATTCTCCCCCACCTCGAAGATGACCACTCTTCGGGTGCTACTGCACGTTGCTGCTCAGCGTCACTACGGTCTTCACTCTCTTGACTTCAGTACAGCTTTCTTGCAGGGCAGCCTACACGAAGAGATCTGGCTGCGCCGCCCTCCTGGCTTCACTGGGTCGTTTCCTCCTGGTACCCAGTGGAGCCTCCGGCGGCCGGTCTACGGTCTCCGCCAGGCGCCACGTGAGTGGCACGACACACTGAGGACTACTCTTGCGGCACTTGGGTCCGCGCCCTCTTCTGCTGACACGTCGCTGTTTCTACGCACCGACATTGCGCTGCCGCCGTTCTACATCCTCGTGTACGTCGACAACTTGGTCTTTGCCACTGCTGACACTGAGGCTCTCGCCCACGTGAATTCGGAGCTGCAGAAGAGACACACGTGCACAGACCTGGGTGAACTGCGCAGCTACCTTGGCTTGCAGATCACCCGGGACAGAGCACGCCGCACCATCACACTGTCCCAGTCACACATGGTGCAGCAGGTCCTTCAACACTTCGGCTTCACCTGGTCCTCAGCACAGGCCACTCCTCTGGCTATAGGTCACTCGTTCTCAGCTCTGCCTTCGGATGAGTCCGTAGAGCCGAGTGGTCCTTACCCAGAGCTAGTTGGTTGCCTCATGTACCTGATGACTTGCACTCGTCCTGACCTAGCATACCCTCTTGGCCTTCTGGCCCGCTACGTGGCTCCTGGCAGGCACCGAAAGGTGCACTGGGATGCTGCAAAGAGGGTATTGCGCTACTTGTGCAGTACATCGGGCATGGGGCTCGTGCTTGGAGGAGGGAGCTCAGTTGTTCTCACTGGGCACTCAGACGCTTCTTGGGTTGACAACCAGGCTACTCAGTGGTCGTCACAGGGTTACACCTTCAGCCTTGGCTCTGGTTCAGTTTCTTGGCGTTCTACTCACTCGTCTTCTGTTCTCAGCTCCAGTTGTGAGGCTGAGATCTACGCCACAGCCATGGCTGCACAGGAGCTACGCTGGCTCACCTACCTGCTCACCGACTTGGGAGAGCGGCCTAATTCTCCTCGAGTGCTGTACGTCGACAACAAGGCTGCCATTGCCTTGTGTGAGGAGCACAGACTGGAGCACAGAAGGAAGCACATCGCTCTCCGTTACTTTCTGGCTCGAGAGCTGCAGCAGCGCGGTCAGCTTCGTCTGCGTTACGTGGCCACTCGGGCCAACACCGCTGATGTATTCACCAAGGCACTTCAGCCTGGTGATCATCAGCGCTTCTGCACTATGCTGGGGCTGGTGC